GGGAGGTGAGGCGGCGAGAGATCGAGACAGAGGGGCAGTATGCGTGTAGTGTGTCAAACATTCGTGGCGCAACTTATTCTCAAATGGTCGCTTCTAAGAGCAAGGCGGCTATCACGAAAAATGCTGTTTGAAGAAAATCGAAGGTAAAGTATTTGCCCCTTTTTCAGTTTCTTTAAAAGGCGAGGGGAGTTTTCTCTATATAACCAAATAAATATACACACCAAAGAAACCAAACTTCCCCTATAGGTAGGGCAATGCTTACTTTTGGTGTAGGACTAGATTTCTGGAAACCCGAAAATCTGGATTAGCCCACCTGTCCTTAAAAGCGCTCAAATAGTCTCCTCAACTATTGTACATATTATATTTTCCAACTTTTGCTATGACTTTTTTCAATCTGTCTTAACTGATGAATATTTTTTCAAACACCTGTACACTGTTTTCTAGAAAATCCCTTAATAAATACTAATAAAAAATGTCAGTCTATGGTTTCTACAGATTTTAAAAGTTAACAGCTAGATCTATGACAATATCGCTCTTATAATCTAGTCCATCTTTATTTTTTCTATAGCTCGGTTAAAAATTCATGGTGCAACTTATTTTCAAATATCTCCTCAACTATCGAACATAGGTTCTCCAATTTTTGCTCAGTCACCTGTATCAATTTGTGTTAGCAGATCAACATTTTTGTAAACACCTGCAAGCTGTATTATAGAAAATTCCTTATAAATACTAATTTAAAAAATCCAAATGGGTGGTTTCTATAGATTTTTTAACGTTTACAGCCGGGGCAATAATATTATTGCTTTTAATAGCAAGTTCGTCCATTTTTTCTAGTCCGGAGAGCCATTAGTGCAAAAATGTGTTCACTATAAAAATAATTTCTTGTAACAAGTTTTGCAAGTAAAAATTGTCTTTGAAGCGCTGTGACGTAGGCCATATTGCGCAATCAAAATGTGTGTGAGAAGCGGGAAGTGCTGTGAACAATACCATTTTACGTGTGACAGAGATTTCAAGTATTTTATATAGTTTTTTCAGATCAATTAATGTACACATAAGAATACATATGCCACATAGCAAGTTCAAATGTCACATAGAAAGTTTCACGCCACATAAAAAGTTCAAATGTTCAATAGGAAATGTTAGTGCACAATTGTGCGTAACAAGTTCAAATGGACAAATAGCAAATCCAAATGTAACACAATAACAAGTTCAAATGCCACATAGCAAAAGCATATCCTCCACAAAGATTATTCTGCGTGAAAAGCATTTTAATGTGCTCGAACTGAGTTGACAACAACCATAAGCAGTTTAATTTTAGGACCCTTAATTTTAAGGTGAATTAGTTATCACCATTTAAAAAATCCCGAGGATGATCCCGCGGAAAGAAATTCAGATAGAACTGAAGCAACTAGACATCAATATGCAGCATGGCTGATGCTGAACATTTAGCGGTATGAATTTGCCTTTATTGAGGAAGCTGGCAGCAAGCCGTTGACGAATAGAAACCGACGAAGAGCACGGAGTGGTCATTGCTTTGTTCGAGTAATGCAGGATCGAAGGGGACCGAACCGCCCGATGCCACAGGGGCCTAATTTGCTGTCAGTGCCAAGGGTGGCCTGGTCTTTCACGACTTTCAAGTAGAGGGAATGGCAGCTTTTGTTTCAACCCATCCCTCTAAGAAACTGGTCCAACAATCCCCACAACGAAGTATGCTTTTTATGTAACAACGCTCGTGCACAAAGGCAGGCTTTAAATGGCAACTCATCATTAGATTGGGGAAGAAATATCTACCTCCCCGACACACCTTTTTTTAACATCTACGAGAACGCTTGTGAATTTGGAAATACTATTTGAAACCGTGGCTCGGTGAAGCAAAAGACCAATTGCTCATTCAACCTACTTATCAACAAAGGATGAAACAAAAAAACCCAAGCTGTGACTATAGTGAGAATGGCAGCAGCCTTCAGATCAATGCAAGCCTATAAGCCATAACGTTTTTTAGTGCAACAATAAGTAAATAAAAGTAAACTTGGCTTTTGATTTCATTCAGTTAGTTCTATAACATACCAGCAGTATGTTGATTTGTATCATAACCATTCGTTTCTGTTAAACCTGTTAGTTTATTTTCGGTTTGTAACACAATGTAACTATTACTTTCGTTTCACATGATTTCTTCCTTGTGGCACCACACGGCTTACGTCGAACGTTTTCGTGGCCAAAAAAAACCTCCAAACCTTTTACTTTTCACCTTGATATATGTTTTATACTTTAAGCCTCCTTTTTATTTTAATAAGAGTTTACGGCACTTGCAACTCAATAAGGTCATATAAGTGCCGAAGGTTAGAGGTGTTACAAGAGAGCAAGAGACACAAAAAGAAGGAGGAGAGATCAGGATGATAGATGTTAGATAGGAAAGAAAGAGCAAACCACACCAGAGCACCCGCCAACCACCCACTTAGCTTCCTTTTACTCCCTTGATTTATATAGTTGATCGTTTCGTATATGTAGTGATAGAATTAATGTAAACGAAAATTCAAAAGGCAACGCAAGTGATCTAAACAGTGGGTTTTGTAATGTTTGTTAAAGTGACAACAAAATTTCAAACTTTTTAAATGTAAGTCTTTTATGATCATTTCATTTATTCAAGCTGATATAGTCCTCTAGACCTATTGCACGGATTCTAATGGTCTGGTCGTTGATTCCACGTCACCATGGGGTTCCACCTGCTGTCTAACGTGACGGGCAGTGCAGGTTCGAGTTGCCAGGGCTGTTCTGGCGATCGCCCAGTCTTCTCGTCGTGTGGTGAAACGTGGCCGTCCGGACCGCATTCGCTCAACGGCAGTTCCAGTTGCAGCAACCGGTCTCATAGTCTGATGATCACTGAGTGACTCACAGCAAGCCGTCTTGCCACTTCACAGACAGTAATCCCTTCGTGGAGCCAGGTTATGGCTCGTCCCCTGTCGATGTTGCTCAGACGTCGTCTTGGGGGTATTGTTAAAAATCGCTTAGTGTGCCCGCAATAAATACCCCTAGCACTGTCAAACCCACTCAGGCTTTAGTGTAGGAAGCGTGAATTCCCCTGAGTTAGTTTTTAACCCATACCACTCACTGAAAATCACTTGAGTAATTGTCAAAGACAAGTTGAATTTTTACTGAAAATTGGCCCCATTTCACCCTGACAGCGTAAATTAAACGACATGTGTCAAATCTGTTCATCATTGTAAACAACAATGCTCCTTCCTTACAGTGACATCAACTCACTCCCCTAACTTCTCAATATGTGTTTGTCACACAGACTCAAACAAACTATAGTGAAAACTATAGTGGTCTCAAACTTGTTTTGAGTAGTATATTTCGCCAGCTAATATGATGGTAGATCATGATTTATCTTACAATTGAAATTGCCAAGTTGTAATCATGAGTTTCAACAAGTGATTACAAGTGGCAATTTCACAAGTAGGATAGATCTAAATCATGATCTAAAACCAAAACAAATGTAATACATTTTTTATATATAGATTTATGAAGAAAGGTTTTTTTTTTTACCTAGCCTTAATTGTTGGGGAAAAAAATAATTAAGTTAAGTCAAATTGACACAAACTGCTGGGCAAAGTAGGGGTGGCTGTGATTTATTCTTTAAAGATATATTTGAGGAAAAGTTACCCCACGAATTTTTGACTTCACAAAAGGTTTACTTGTATGTGTAAACGAGCTCAAATTATGATTTTTTGTATGCGCATATAATTGATCCCTTGGTGGGTGTGTGTATATTTGCGTTTGTGCTGATCATGTCTGTTTTAAGTGCACTGCATTTTACATTCATGAGTTTGTGCGTATGTAAAGGTGTAAGTATATGTGAGCCTGAATTTATATTTTGTACAGATTGTAATGCACTATGTGAAGATATATGCGTGTAATGGTGCCATGAGCATGTGCCCATTCATCACTGTCTTAGGTATAAGCCGCCCAGATGGTGTCTTCACAATTTCTGTTCTTAGCGATATTCTCTACCTCCAGCAGTAAATCCTTTTGACATTTTATTGGAGTTTATTTTTTTGTTTTTGTTGTAGATTTTGTTTGTTGGTGTTTAAAAATTCGTTTGCTTATTTGTTCTGGGAGGTGACATCTCGTTTTACGTTCTGATGTACAGGCCAGACGGCAAAACAGAAGTGAACTTCGCCCTTCCTGACTCCATCACTACGTGGTCAGTCCAGGCAGTGGGCGTGTCCAAAGAGGCGGGACTATGTGTAGCTCCGCCCCTGCAGCTGGCGACCTTCAGCTCTTTCTTCATTCACCTTGACCTTCCTTACAGCGTGATACGGCTGGAGCAGCTGGAAGTGCGAGCCACCGTGTACAACTACATGAGTCGTCGACTGAGGGTATTTCTCTTCTTTTTTTTTTTTAGTTCTTTTATGCCCCCACCGGCATGATTAAAATTTGAATCTGTTAGGAGATAGGCTAACCCGGACAGAGCGGGAAATATGATAGCAGATAGATCGTGTTACTCGATAATTATCCTCCCCTCGAAGTAATCGTACTATGGTTTTCTGCATGAGGCGGCGAAGTGCCTAACCAATTTACCACAAATGCTGGTGTATTTTTCTCTGTGTTGTGTATCAGATTTACGCCCTACTAGAATCAGAAGGACTCTCCAATAGCTCAGCTTTTGTCATGATGGACACTCATATGATATGAAAAACATAGATGCACGGATAGATACTGAAATACATTGATAAAATGTGAAATGGTCTAGGTTTAACGCTCCTATAAACATAATAAAGATTTAATCATCATCATCATCATCATCATCATCATCATCATCATCATCATCATCATCATTATCCTCATCATCATCATCATCATCATCACGCCAAAGAGGCACCTCTACTCGCCAAGTTATTTGGACGAGTGGAGGTGCCGCGAAGCATATTGACAATGGAGCCGAAAAAGAGCCTCGCTCTCGCTCGAAGATTTCTTCGTGAAGCCCGTCAGGCCCATTAAGGAAACAAAAATCATCATCATCATCATCATCATCATCATCATCATCATCATCATCATCATCATCATCATCATCATCATCATCAAATTATTATTATAATAGTAATAATAATAACACCCCATAATAATAATAATAATAATAATAATAATAATAATAATAATAATAATAATAATAATGCTAAAAATAATAATAAATAAAATAACAAGCTTTAAGATGATACCAATAGCTCCACATGGCAAAAAAAAAGAAAATTTTAAAATTGACGAGCGCCTGATTCCACTGCGTTATGACACAAATCTTTCTGTCCTCTCATATTATGCCCCCCTCCACCCCCACCCCCTCAACCACCTCCTGCCCCCATCTGTGTCCTCCTGCCAGGTAAACCTGGTCCTACAGAGCGTGGACGGCGTCTGTTACTCCGGCCAGCCTGGGAAGAGCACCGAGATGGTCAAGCTAGAGATAGAGGCCAACGACGCAGGCTCCGCCTACTTCCCCATCGTGCCTCTGGAGATTGGAGAGTTCCCCATCAGGGTCATGGCCTTTTCCTCCTGGGGGAGGGACGGTGTGGAGAAGACGCTCAGAGTGGAGGTGAATAGGGGGTGGGTTTTTGTGGGGGAGGGGGGCGGTTGTGGTGAGGGAAGCGGTGTGTGGTGGAGGTGTGGAGACGTTCAGAGTGGAGGTGTATAGGAAAGTGAGGGGTTGTGGTGTGGTGAGAGAAACGGTGCCTGGTGGAGGTATGGAGACGCTCAGAGTGGAGGTGTATAGAGGGTAGGGTGGGTTGTGGTAAGGGGGAAAGTGCGTGGTGGAAGTGGAAGTGTGGATATGACGTTCAGAGTCTAGGTAAATTTGGTTGGTTGTTCGGGTTGGGAGTGGGGGGGGGGGGGGCAGCTGGATGTACAAAGAACCTCTAGTATTTAAGCAAATGTTAGTTTTCATTATTGGAAGGGGGGGGGGTGAAAAAAGACGCTTAGAATTTAAGGAAATGTAATTTGTGTTTGTTTTGTTTTGTATTTTCTAAAATAATTTTTGTTTGTTTGGGGGGGAGGGGCCGTAGGGTTGTGTTTGTGTGTGTGCGTGTGTGCGTTTGTGTTTGTGTGTTTGTGTGTGTGTGTGTGTGTGCATGTGTGTTTGTGTGTTTGTGTGTTTGTGTGTGTGCGTGTGTGCATGTGTGTTTGTGTGTTTGTGTGTGTGTGTGTGTGTGTGTGTGTGTGTGCGTGCGTGATGAAATACCAAACCAATGTACCAGGATCTGGACAATGACGCTTTATCTTATCTTATCTTATCTTGTCTTATCTTTTTTTTTTCGTCTTTAGGGCGAAGGTATCGAAACGATCCACACCATCTCAGTCATGCTGGATCCAAGTGGGAAGAGATTTCTGCGGAGTCGATCCTCCAATCACTCCTTCTCCGTGAAGAGTAAGTCGTTTTTTTCGTTTCTCTCTTTCTTTCCTTCATTCCTCTGTCCTCCCACCACCCAACCTCTCTCTCTCTCTCTCTCTCTCTCTCTCTCTCTCTCTCTCTCTCTCTCTCTCTCTCTCTCTCTCTCTCTCTCTCTCTCTGTGTCTCTCTCTCTCAGTTAAATGTGCATAAGCATTTAAAATATTATATTTTGTTAGTATTTTACGGCACTCGCTACTGCATAATAAGGTCATATGAGCAAGGAGGGGCACATTAGCATTTTCAGTTTGGTAGGAATTAATTTTCAATTTTGTCTGGATGGCCGCTGAGCACTACTCTTATCGATTTTAGGACCATCAAGGGAAGTTTAACTTGCACATGGGACGTCGGAGATTTTTTGCCATTATCTGAGAAGGCTAGGTGTTTGATCTTACCTACCCTAAGATCACGGGTGTGGCTGAAAGACAGCAGTAAGGAGCCAAGGTGTATCAGTATAAAGGCTGCAGAAAGAGTCTGGAGCCCAGAAGAGAGGGCAAGGGCGGGAAAGTGGGGTAGGGTGCAGAATGTGGAGACGAAAACTGACGACAGAACAGAGAAGAAAGTTTTTGTCGCCGTCAGGTTTCGAACCCGGGACCTATTGCATGATATTATGCAAACGCCGCACCTCCAGACCACGAGAGCCCCGTTTATGTATCTATGTATGTATGTGTGTATGTATGTATGTATTTATGTATCTATGTATGTATGTGTGTATGTATGTATGTATTTATGTATCTATGTATGTATGTGTGTATTTATGTATGTATTTATGTATCTATGTATCGATGTATGTAGATCTCTATGTATATAGATAGATACTTGTTTCCTGCCACCGGTATACATACCTACATGAATTACATTTTTTTCATAATATGTTTTTACACAGAGCCTTTCAAGGCATTAATGTGAGCCTGGCATTAGACTGGTTTTAAAAGTTGGGTGTGCTGTTCACTGATTGCGGTACAAAAATGATGTGTCTCTATGAATATATTGTCTGCAGATGAAGTCCGTGTGGCGGAGAAACGACAGAGCGTTGAGCTTGACCTTGACCTTCCCCAGGATGTCATCCCAGATACAGACAGCTGTA